CTGACAACTTTTTCTCGAATATAGAAAACAAGAAAAGGATGCCCACTGTTGCCACTTTTATTCAATACCTAGCAATTAATTTGTTCAAGGAGGTGAAAGACCGGTGCGTTGAAAACTCTAAAATACTAATGAACAAAATTGAAGAAAACTCAAATAAATGGAAAGATACTCTGTGCTCATGGACTGGAAGTATTAATAGTCAAAATCTCCATACTACCCAAAGCAATCTACAGATTCAATGCAATCCCTATTAAAATACCCACTGCATTTTTCACAGAACCAGAACCAATCTTAAAATTTATATGGAAACACAAAACACCTCAAATAGCAAAGCAATCTTGAGAAAGAAGAACAAAGCTAAAGTAGCATGCTCCTTGATTTCAAACTATACTAAAAAGCTACAATGATCAAAATAGTACAGTACTGGCAAAAAAAGACACATTGATCAACTAAACAGAAAAGAGAGCCCAGAAATGAACTCACACTTATATGGTCAATTAATCTACAACAAAGGAGGCAAGAATATAAAATGGAGAAAAGACAGTCTCTTTAATAAATGGTGGTGGGAAAACTGGACAGTTACATGCTAAAGAATGAAATCTGACAACCTTATTCCATCATGTACAAAAATAAACTCAAAATGGATTAAAGACTTAAATGTAAAACCTAAAACCACAAAACTCCTAAAAGAAAACATAGGCAGTACACATGCTCTTTGATATTGGTCTTAGCAATATTTTTTTAGATCTGTCACTACAGGCAGAGGTAACAAAAGCAAAACTAAACTTAAAGGAACTACATCAAACCAAAAAGTCTTTGCATGGTGAAGGAAACCATCAATGAAACTAAAACACAGCATCCAGAATGGGAGAAATTTGCAAATGATATGTCCAATAAGGAGTTAATATACAAAATATATAAATAACTTATACAACTCAATATAAAAAAATGTGATTAAAAATGGGCAGAGGACCTGAGTAGATATTTTCTCAAAGAAGACATATAGATTGCCAAAAAGTACAAGAGAAGATACCCAACATCACTAATCATCAGGGAAATGCAAATCAAAACCACAATGAGATATCACTGCATACTTGTGAGAATGACTATTAGGAAAAAGACATGATGTAACACGTGTTGGTAAGGATGTGTTGAAAAGAGAACCCTTGTGTACTGTTGGTGGGAATGTAAATTGGTATAGTCACAATGCAAAACAGTATAGAGGCTCCTCAAAAATGAAAAATATCTAAAGAAAACACGCTAATTTGAAAATATATATGCACCCCTATGTTCACTGCATCACTTGCCAAAATATGGAAGCAACCTAACTGTCACTTGAGAGATGACTGGATAAAGAAAATATGCTGTACATATACACATATATAATAGAATATTACTCACTAATAAAAAAGAATGAAATCTTACCATTTGTTATAACACGAATGGACCTAGAGGGTATTATGCTAAGTGAAATAAGCCAGACAGAGAAGGACAAATACTATATAGTTACACTTCTATGAATCTAAAAAAAAAATGAACATACATAACAAAATAGAAACAAACTCACAGGTACAGAGAACACACTGGTGTCACCAGATGGACGTGGGGAAATGGGTGAGATAGGGGAATGGGATTAAGAGGTACAAATTTAGCTATAAGGTAATAAGTCACAGGCATATAATGTACAGCAAAGGGAATCAGTCAATATTATCACAGTAGCTTTTTATGGTGACACATAGTAATTAGACATTGTGGTGATCACTTTGTAATGTATAAAAACATCAAATCAAAAAAAAAATCACTATATGGTACACCTGAAACTAATATTGTAAGTCAATTATACTTCAATTAAAAAAACCAAACATTGACATATCTGAAAAAAGGCACTCAGAACCCATAGAGTGAATCCTAATGTAAACTAAGTACTTTGGGGTGATGATGTGTTAATGTCGGTTCATCAATTACAACAAAAGTACCACTCTGGTTGGGCATTTTCATTATGGGGAAGCTATGCATGAGTAGGGCCAGGGGTACCTGAGAAATCTAAATTTTTTTGTGACCCTAATATGGTCTAAAAAAAATTAAGTCTATTTTTAAAAGGCACTTATTCCAGAAAATTTTAAAGCTGTAAGTAGAACTCTTACTGAGACCTTATTTAGTTTATGTTCATTTAGTTGCTATTCCAGATGGTTTGTACTACCTTTCGCAAATTCTTCAAGCAAACCAGTTGATTGCAAAGCAAAATTAGAGAAATGTGTCTTAAATTCAATGATACAATAAAGTTAAATTTAAAGATATACTTCAACAAAGTTTATGACAAAGATTCTAGATTTATATAGATCTTGTTATCTGATCATATTACCTAATTATATAAATGCTCACTGCTGATAAAAGAAAATGTTCACCAACGTCACATGCATGGTTTGTGTTTTATTCTTTGAAGAATGGTTCTGAAACATCATACTAAGTCAGGCTGAAAGGTAAAGTTTAAAATAGTTTTGTAAGGATATAACATATGTACTGACTGTTCACTCTACAAAATCTTGATCATAGAGCTTATTATACACCTAGTTAGCAGTAGCACCCAGGTTTTCCAAATAGTCAGTCATCATTTTTGGCTTGTCTGCATAGACTTCTTCTCATTGGCTGCCTTCTGCTTTTGTTGCATGATCTCAGAATCCCTATAAGGGGGGAAAAGGCTGTAAGTTGTTACAGAAAAACTGATTTTATGTTGCCACTTGATTTCTATAATAACCCATTCAGTATATCAGAAGACAACTGAAAAGATATAACTTTTATGTCTTTTCATTTTCATGGATGGAGATAGAATGGGAAGGCAAAGAATGAAATGGCTTTGAAGTCGGATCTTATTTTGAATACCAGCTCTACTGTTGTTATGACTTTGGGCAAATAACCTCCAAGTCCTTTCAAAATTAGAGTAATATGTATCAGGGCTGTTCTGACACTAGGTAGATACATGCTGGAATAATGGTAATTACTCTTGGTTGTCAACAAAGTTAATTCATTATAAGTTTTTTGCTGGAAGAAGGGGCATTTAAGAAGTCTAGATCTCCTAACTGGTACCTAGGATTAGGACATAGATGTTGTGAAGCAATTCAGTTTCTTACAAGCCAAAACCCCAATATTTAGTGATGAAAAATGGATTATACCAAAGAAAAGCAGGATCTTTGGGGCATTTTCTTAACCTTTTGTGTCTCTGGCTGAACCTCCACTTACTGTGAGCTACAAACCAGACTACCTGGGCCAGACGGTCCATGAGCCCATATTAAAAAATAAATTAAATGGTTATGTGTTCAACCCCCTCTATGTGCCAGGCACTTTACTGGCTCTGGATTAAGTCCCACAATAATTTTGAGTTATTGTCCCTATGTTTAAGAGTTTAGAAAAAAAAAGTTAAAGGCTTAGAGCTAAGTAATTTGCCACACATCACATAAAAAGCAAGGTCTGTCTAATTTCAAAGTCGAGGCTCTTTCCTATGCTGTTATTGTGTATATTTGGTATTAGATTTTAATTCAGGATGAGCAGCTCTGTCTGTATCAGTAAGACATTTATGCAAAGCTGACAGTAAAAACAAGGAATGAGAAGAAAGGAAGAAGACGACAGCTACCAAGAAATGAGGTATCCCGGAAAAAAACAGTGATAGTTACTTTTCTGTTTGTAACCAAACTCTGCTGTGCTTGCTGTATGACCTTAGCAATGTTACTCAAATTCAGAGCCTTAGTCTCTTATTGTATGCACTGGGGCTAATACCACTTTTTAGGATTGTGATGAATAGAGATAATATATACACAGTATCTACCACAGAGCTTTATAAGGAGTAGGTATTCATTAAACAATGATTACTGAGGCAAGCTACGGTAGGTTTCCCAGTAAAAAATACTGTTTCATGGTTACTGATCTGTTCACTTCTACTCCAATGAAAGTAAACTAATTCAAAGCAAAGCTTATTACTTTAAAAATAAACGTCATAAAAAGTGTGAAGTGATAAGGGCTTCAACCTCATTAAACTCTGACTGAACATCAGAATCACCTGGGGAGCTTTTTAAGTCAGGTTTAACTTAGGTGCAATAAAATTTACTTAGTGCACCTTTTAATCCCCTACCCTAGACCAATTAAGTCTGGACTGGGTGTAGGGCCCAGGCTTGAGCAGATGTCAAGGTTTCCCAGGTGGTTCTAATGTGCAGCCAGGCTTGAGGGCCACGGAGAAGCCATACTGAAGCACGTGCAGTCAGTTATTTACCTGACCAACTTTTATAGTGACAACAAAACTTGATTTTAGAATAAAATTAAATTTGGCTAGCTTTGTTTTTTAGAAACATGAATTTTTTTGTGGGTGGTGGTAATTAGGTTTATTTATTTATTTTAATAGAGGTACTGGGGATTGAACCCAGGACCTCGTGCATGCTAAGCGCACACTCTACCACTGAGCTAAACCCTCCACCCCTGAATGTTTTTTTTTTAACTTGAGCTTCAGTCTCAAAGTATTTGTGTAGCAGGTTTGTATTATTTGTCACATATACTCATGTATCAAGGCTGTGCACCTATATTCCCTCCAACCAAATGGATCTTCAGAAGTCAATAGTTATACATGTTTTTTTGTGTCTCTTTCAGACAGTTATCAATGTAATTGGTGGCCTGTCATCCAGACTAGAATGGGTAGGATATCTGCTTTGAAAATATTTATCCTTTGCACCTAACAATGCTTTCTTTGCACATGGAAGTTAATGAAGTGCTTATGGTTATGGTGGAGAGGTATGAGATTTTCTGCAACACCAATTATAGCTTAAGGGCTTTAAATTCTTCATCCATGAGTTGGGATAATGACTATGTCACAGTTTTACTATGCGAGGCACACAACAGATACTCAGTTGTTACCCCTTTCTGTAGGTTAGGCCTAGTTCTACTAAGGATTTAAAAATGGTTTCTATTTTCCAAAGTGAAAACTTCTGTGACTCGGGAATTTCTTTAGTATCACTTACCTCTGTTTTCTCTGAGAGGTAGTCAAGCTATCTTCTTTTCTTTTTCCCTTACTAATTTCCTGTGATTTCTTCATGTTTTTCCGGCGGGCAAGTTCTCGTTGATTTCCACCTACAAAAAGAAACAGTCATGCTATTTTCCCATCCCCCAAGTTGATAACTCCATTATAAGGCTCACATTTAAATGCATCTGAAGTTTGCTTTTTAAGAGAGAAGCTAGCAGAATGCTGCACTGAGTAGTGTTCCCTGATCTGATGACAAGGAGGAAGCTTGAAGGTAAACACTTAAGGTCTTAAGAGTATTATACCAGTCAAGGGGTTCACTGGCTGTAAATACCAGGTCCTTTAACACAGGCATTCCAATTGTCTGTCTATATGGGCCAATATTCCAAAACAAGTTTTGCCTTTTGAGGGGTGTGGGTGGAGAGAGAAAGACAGATAAATTGCAGATCACACCTTGCACAAGTTGGCCCATCATAATTCAACTGTTAAGCGAGCAAATACATATGCTCGTAAAACATTACCTGTGAGGGCCAAAAGAACAAGGGAGGAGACTTAGAGCTCCCCGTCTTTAGGCCTCAGGACTTTGAGTATTAACTACCAGCTATAAACTACCTCCAGAACACGACCCCTTCCAGGGCTTCCATCTCCACAAACCTCACCCCCGGGGAGGTGTTTTTTACGGTGTAAACTCGCACCCGAGGGACAGGCACCTGCCCGACCTTTCAGGCTGGACCGGAGCCAACGGTCCCTCTCCCTCCGCTGCCTGCAAATCGGGTCCCCGCCGCGCCCGACCGAAGGGGTTTCACCAACCAGCACCCCCGCCTCCCCGGCCGCCGCGCCTCGGAGCTAGACTTCCTCGCCCAGCGCTCCCCGCCGCTTTCCCCCCGGGTCCGCACACTCACGGGCCATGCTGACCACCTGACCAAGCCTGGAAGAGAGCGACTCGGAAAAGCAATGAATTCCTTCAGGGGTCAGCGGCCGCCCCTAACGCAGGTCTGGAAGGTTGAGCCGGTGGGGCCCTCCAGCAAGATACTTCTGGGCTTGGTGGACGGCCCCGCCCCCGGAGACCCGACAACAGCCGCCGGCGTGGCCGGAGAGCAACTGCGCGTGTGCGGCTGGGAGGCGGGGCGGTCCTCAGTTGCTAGCCCTCGCTTTGCAGCTAACCCGCGCAGGGGGTCCTTCTGCCACGCGTAGAGTCTAGAAAGCAGGTCCCGTGTCTTAGAGGGGTAGGCGTGTGTGGATTTTCCTCCCGTGTTCAGGGCACTGGGGCTTGATCAGCCCCCATATTTTGGTAACGACATTAAACTCTACAATATCTAACTTTTCGACAAAGAACGTTAGCTTTCTTTCATCCTGTTGTAGAGGCGGGAAGGGAAGGAGGCGGACAGAACAGATTAAGGGTTATCTCTGAAAGGCAGCGTTGGCCCTTTACATGTTTTCCTTTATTCACGTACCAGGCCTGCAAGGTAGGCTTCACTGTTCTCATTGTACGAAAGAGGCGACTGAGACTCAGACCAGAAGCAACTACTAGTAGGGACTATAAGAACTGAGATTCACACTTAAGACAGACTCTTGAGTGGATGATATAGCTCAAGTGGTAGAGTGTATGCTTAGCATGCATGAGGTCTTGGGTTCAATCCCCACTATCTTTATTAAAAATAAATAAATAAACCTACTTGTCTCCTCCACTAAAAATAAAAAAATAAAGTGGACTCCCATTTCATCCCAGTGCCCTTGTCACAGTTGACAGTACTTGAGGTACTCGAGTTTTGTGGCTCTGTGTTTGGATTGTGTGATGGGGAGAGAAGGGTAGGGAATGCAGTCTTACCACAAACTAAGAATAGCCCAGAAGAACCTTAACAGCTGTGGAACATCAACCATTGCTAGAAACAGAAGCATGAAGATGCATGGTACTTGTTTCCTTCATCTGTTCTGTTAAATATTACAAACTGAGAAATGTGTAGAGTTAGTCTGGACACCCTAAAATTATCCTATTTTTTTAAGGCTGTGCTTTGGAAGATTTCAAACATACTCAGAAGTGTAAAAAATACTATAATGAATCCCCAAGTATATACAACCAACCTTCAACAATTCTTTTACCTAATAAAAATTACTTGAGGGTTCTGGAGGTGACATGCCTGGGTTGAAAGCCCAGCTCTACCAATGAGTAGGTGTGTGAACTTGGGAGTGTTATTTCATTGCATTAAATCTTCCTGACCAGTAAAATGGGGAGGTAATTGTACCTCTTTCATTAACTGAATTAATATATTTGAAGTGCTAAGTATCCTGAATAGGATAGCACTCAACATGTTTTCCGTATGCCCTACCCCTATTCCTCAACACTACTTGTAGCCCAGGTCTGTTTCCACTTAGTGAATCTCTTCTGGAGTAACTTGAGCAGGGGAAAAGATTGACTTTCTGGCCAGGCTCTTTATAAAGAGACCATCTAAGGAAGGGAGAAAAGCAATTTGGGGTTGAAGGTAAGTGGTAGAGTTGTTTCTATGTGTGGTCTTATGAGTCTAATTGAGCTTTTTCTTTATGGCTGAAAATATACTTTCTAAGTTATAGGGATTCACATGACGTATACCATGTATACAAGAAATGTTGGGTGTGTCTGCCAGAGAAAACTAGAGACTTTTTTAAATTACTATGATGCCAGGGGAGGGTATAGCTCAAGAGGTAGAGCACATGCTTAGCATGCATGAGGCCCTGGGTTCAATCTACAGTACCTCCTCTAAAAGTGAATAAACAAATCTAATTACCTCCCCCCATAAGAAACAATTTTAAAAAATTATGATACCATCAAGACTTTAAAAACTTGAGCGTGTAAAAAAATCTCATGATTTTATATTTAATAATAAAATTAAATCTGATTCTGTTCTCATCCCTTTACTAATAGGAAATTAAATCTTAGTCATTATTTACTTCTTTACCTGCAAAATTGTGGGAACACCATAGACTCATAGGTGGAACAAAACATTTTGGGAAAGGCCTTGTGTCTTCAGTCTATACCAGAATATGCTGTCCAGAGATACAGGGTTCTGGCAGTAGCTCCAAGTTTTCTGAGATAGTTTCAGCAGGGGTTATTTTTGTCAAGTTCTTAAGCTTCTTTAGATTTGTTTTGAGGTCCTGTTGCTTCTCCATAGTACTAGGAGCCCACAGACCTCTATTTCCTTCCCAGTTTTAACAGAATCTCTTCTCTCCTCTGTGCTTTCAGCCTTGCTTTCCTACTCTCAAAAATACCTATTCCTCTTCTTTCTCCTTCTGGATGACCTAGCAATCTCTTCAATCAATTCAGTGTTTTATTCCTTTGACATTTTGTTATTAATATAGCAGGATGTTCTTGTAGAATTTTCTTCCCCTTTCAAGAAGAAGTCAGGCCTTTGTTTTCCATGAGTCAGGGGACGTGTATTGCCGGTTCAAACACTTGCTCATAATCTGTAGAGCCAACTGCATCTCTGGACATTTTCCCTCTCATCATAGAGGCCTTACCTAATTATCCTGCATAAAGTAAACCAGCCTCCCATTAATCTCTGTTATATTATCCTTTACATTTCTTTCATGGCATTTAATAATTCTTAAATTATTAAATTCATTTGTTGAATTTTTCCTCGCCCACCCAGAATGCCTTGTTTATTGCTCTATTGCTCCCTCCTGAAGCAGATTAAGAATGCTCAAATTAATTCACAAAATTTTAACTACAATAATTTTTGAACAGGTGTTACATTCACATTAAAAAGTACACAAGGATATACAGTAAATGTTCCTCTTCCTAAGACATATTTACCAGAAGCCCAGTTCCCCTTTTAGAAGTTAACTATTATCAGTTTCTTCACATCTGAATTTCAAATCTATGTTCTACTCAATTTAGAATTTTTAAGTAAGTCTTGGGGATGTGCTGATAAACAGGCACTGCTCTACAGGACCCTCTAAAAACAAAAGCGATTTTAATAGTTCTCGTAAAAGTTTGGGCAAATGGACTATCTCCTTTTTTGAATAACTTCTAGGGACCCCTGGAGAGGGAAAACACACAGCCTTGCATCTCAATTTCCGGTTCCCAGGTAACCCAGGCTCCGTGGCTTACAGTTACCATGGCTCCGGGCGCTGTGCGTCTTACGTCATTCCGTGGCGCTGGAGGATGACGCAACCAGTTCCGGCGCCCTCTGACGGCGGGGGAGCAAGGTATAGCGAGAAACTTAGCTATTACTGTAGCAGGGTCATGAAGAAGAGGCGGCGGCGGGACGACGCAGGTGGTGGTGGCGGGGGCGTGAAACTGCGGTAGCTGCCGGCTGGGCTGGTGGTGTGGGCTTTGTGGAAAGGGCGTAGTTCCTAAACCCCTCTCCAGGCAGCGGCCGGGGCTCGGGGCTGAAAGCGGCCGTGGGGCCGCCTCCCCGGGCCCCCTGGCTCCGCCATGTTCCGCAGGGCACGCCTAAGCGTGAAGCCGAATGTCAGGCCTGGAGCTGGCGCCAGAGGCTCCACCGCCTCCAATCCCCAGCGTGAACAGGAGGCTCCCAGGCCGCCAGAGCCTACAGCGGCCTCTGCCCCGAAGCCAGCGGAGTCCTCAGATGTGCCCCCAGTGGGTTTCGGGGAAGCGGAGCCCCAAGAAAAGACTCCCAAGAGCAGGTAAGTGTTTGCAGAGGGGAGCATTTTCATCTGTCCCGCCTCTCCCGGCATGTCACCTGGAAGCTGAGCAAATGAACTTTTCCGTGGAAGTACTCCCTCGCTTGCACTAAGCCTGACAGTTGAGGCCGAGGAACACGTTGCAAACTACAGTTGGTCTCGCTGACCACAGGTTGTGACAAGTGTGGATGTGTTACAGTGTGTAGATTCTCGGGGAGGGGGTCTTCAAGCGGTAGTGGGAGGAATCCAGGTATAACAGTCAGAAAGTGAAGAATATCCACACGTGGTACTATTCATTAGACAATTTTGATTACCGCAGTTTTCATTCTTTTGGAGTACTTTGGAGGGTAAGTAGTTTTTTTTTTATCTTAAAAACGTTTAATTTTAAAAGAAGAGCAGTGTTACTTGGATTCTGCTGAGTTATGTCAATGGAAAGGAGGTCTGGTTACTTATTTTGACTTGAGAGTTTGCCCCTTTAAGTATGGTGACCATGTTTTCTGAACCGAAAAGCATGTGTCATGTTCCACATTTGGATTCAGGATTCTCTTGCTTAATTTAACAATTATGGGCTTTGCCCAGGCAGAGTTTACTCATCTGCAAAATGAGGATAATATTACCTACTTCGGAGAGTTACTGTGAAGGTTAGAGATAACTGATATAAACCTCCTTGTACAGGACAGGGCAGAATAATTACCTTTATGTTTAAAGGTTATGGAGCAAAGTAATGAAAGTTAAGACATGTTAAGCTAATAATGACTTCTGTTTTTATACTATAAATGTAGGAAACCAGTGAAAAACCAACCCTATTAAATGACAGTGAGATGGCATAAATTCTTCATACACTGTGACAGGATTTTATCCCTTTCTGTTTTTGTTTGTTTTTTGGGTGGGGAGGTAATTAGGTTTATTTATTTATTTTTAATTGAGGTGCTGGGGATTGAACTCAGGGTCTTCTTCATGCTGAGCTTGCGCTCTACCCCTTGAGCTATACCCTCTCCCCCTTATTCCTTTATTTTTTAGTTTAACTTCTCCTGTTGGGCTCAACTAGCGCTGGGTTTAGAGTAGTATTTTGATAGCTTAGTGATGCTTGGTGATTTCTAAGTTTGTTACATGAATTTGTTTCAAAATTTCTCCCAACAGTGGAGATTCAAATACCAGTTACTGTTAATAAAGTTCACAGAGATCCTGTTAACTACATAAGAGTCCATGATTATTGATATTAATAAATTAGCCTGTAGTTTTGAGACATTTAAGCTTAAGGATATGGCTTTTTTATAGTTGACATTTGTTTATCTTTTTTTTTTTGGTGGGTCTTTGTTAATTGTAAAAATGTAGGGTATGTATTCTGACCTTGTGCATTCACATTAATTGGGTGAAATGTAAATAGCACATGTATCACATATAAGAGCTGAGATAAGAATTTAAATTGGATACTTTTTGGAAAGGTTATTCTGTAGATTTAGGCATTTTCCACTTTTATGTAAAATTATCACAACATGAAAAAATTTGACTACTTTTAATTCTTGACTTATAACTTCTTCATTTGCCTTGAGGCCATTACTGAAATATTTATATCCAATCCTGTATCTCTAAAATGTAATTGGAGTGACTGAGTACTTGTTTTGAGTGAAGACTTTATTTTGATAGTGAATAAACAGTTATATCTGACAAAAGTTAAGTGACTTCTGCCTCAAACAGAATTTTGTTTGATTAATGCAGCCATATGAATTATCTTCAAATACTGCAATACAAGTATTTCAGAGATTTAAAATTTTGTATGTTTGGTTTGATCCCAAGTTGATAATTAAAGTATAATGCCAATAATTCAGATCAGTTTAGGGGGTGTCAATGTGGAATATAAACTTAATTTTAAGAAACAACTCTCATTTAATGGCTTTCAACCTTTAAAAATACTGAATCACTGGGCTGTACACCCAAAACTAATATAATATTGTAAATCAACTATACGTCAATAAAAAAAATTTTTTTAAGCTATCAGAAGAAAAAGCCTGTTAGTTATCTAGTAATTCAAATTAGGCTAATTAAGGTTTGTTTTGAAACTTAGGGGTATTTCCCTCTGGGTTTTTTTTTTTTAAGGAACTAGCATGAGCATAAAATTATGTGCTATATATAATGTCTTAAGGATTTAAAGTTTGAAAAGGGTCATCAGTCTTCATTAGAATTTCCATTTTTTAATTTACTAAACAAACATTTTATTGTAGCCTCTGTTCAAGTCATCGATCCACTTTTGCCAGACTAGTTTTTAAAACTAGAATATCGAAAAGGAGATCCACTTGTCCTTTTATTTTTCCTTTTAAAATTTCAGCAGTGATGAAAAGACTGATGGTGGAAATGATGTTGAAGAATCCAGTAAATCTTCCTCTACTGTCTCACAGAGAAGAAAGCGAGTATCAAGTACTTCTAGTTTGGTTAAGCCTGGTATCAGTGTTCCTTCAGAACCTCATCCTTTATCTACAGTTAATCAAGAAGCTCCACAGCCAAACCCTGTTCCAACAAAAGAGAAACAGCCATGCTCAGACAGATACCGAATATATAAAGCCCAGAAACTGAGAGAAATGTTAAAAGAAGAATTGAGAAAAGAGAAGGTACAGTAGAAAATTCAGAATTTTGACTGTTGCCTGGTAGATTTTTGTTTTTATGTTAGTCAGGGATCATTTGGAGGAAAAATAAGCATCTGTAGCATTTTGATGAGGGAAACAAAACCAAATAACATTCCTCATGTTAGTAAGAATATCACCTTTTGTTAACAGAATGATTAAGAAGCACTGTGGAGTTGATAACCTTATTTTTTCCACAGTATTAATTTTTATACATTTGATTCATCAATGTCTTTCATTGTTTTTGACGGAAGCCACAAAAGGGACATCTTATGTGCTTGCTCACACACACACGGATGGATACACATACAAGCATATTTATAAACTTAGCCTTCAGATTTTTTTTGAGGCTATCTTGTTGACATGAGTTATAGTCATTTGAATTAACATAAATGTAGTTGTGCAAAATGAATTGCTAATGTTTTCTGAATTGTCAATATAGAGTGTAATAAATGGGGAAAATGTGTGTATACTTACAGTGCAGTCTATGTTCTTTTTAGTCTTTTTTTTCGTTGGGGGGAGGTAATTAGGTTTATTTATTCTTAAAGGAGGTATTAGGGATTGAATCCAGGACCTCATGCATGCTAAAGCATGTGCTCTACCAGTTGAGCTATACCCTCCACACTACATTCTTTTTAATCTTGAAGATTGTTTTTCTGAAGAGGGTATTGTAGCAGTAGTTAAACATGCAAGCTCTGGAATTTGATACTTTATCTTAGACTAAGGGATTCTAGATTCATCTCTTACTTACTATGTGACTTTGAACAATTTAGTTAATCATCTATGTCTATTCCCTCGTCTCTAAAATAGACTGATGATAGCATTCACTTCATTGGAAGATTGTGAAGAGTGAGTTCATTTGTGTAAAGTGTATTTAGGTTAGTGTATAGCAAATAATAAGAACTCAACAAATGTCAGCTCTTATTAATTATAAAATGCCCCCTTTTTTAATTAAGAAGAGGGCACTTGGTGCTTTATATTAATTATCTTATTTAAATATCTGAACTGTGTGAAGTGGGTATCACTATTTTACACAGGAGGAAATAAGCTCAGAGAGGTTATTTGCTTTGTGTCAAACAGCAGTTGAGGATATGGGATTTGAATCCATAGCCCCTAAAATCTGCCTCTAAAAGTGTTCTATATAATCTGCTTAATTAGATTTATTTTTGGGAATTAAAAATTAAACATTTGCTTCAAGAATTTAATTAAATACATGGAATTCCAGTTTACTACAGGGCAAATAAAAACTATGTACGTATAAATTCTCACTGAATTATTGTAGTTAGTATCAGCAAGCTTGATTTTATACATTGAGCTTTTAGGCAGTCTCAGTCATTTTAGTTTTTAAAATTCATTAATGTGCTATAATTTTTAAATATTCAGTATATAAAATTTTTCCTAAAATTAGACATAAGTGTAGTAGGAATAATTTTCAAGCACTTGCAATGAATGCAGCAGTGGGCTGTATACTTAAATATATACATCTAAAATTCTTCTATAGTTATAAAATTTAAATGTATCTGTGTGTGCTTGTGTATCTAGAAGCAGTGGAAAAACAAATACGCCATAAATGAAAGTCAGGGGCCACCAGATCGTTCAAAAATGACTATGAGAGACTTCATATATTACTTGCCAGATAACAATCCAATGACGTAAGTAAACTTTATTTCTATTTTACTTTCTTTGAGTATGTAGTGACTTAAGTATCACTTTTAGAGTGCAGTTACAGCTCATGTGATGTCCTTTTAAAAATTAGGGCTGTTTCAAGTAACTACTTTCTTGGGATGGTAAGTGATGCCCTTTACCTCTGAGATTAAAAATAAGATTAAAAATCAAGATGGCAATTTTTATTTCTTACATGCTATATTATGATCTAAAGGGATGATTTAATTTTTATACCCTACCTCTTAATTAAATACGGTGGCATTTGAATAACAAATCCTCTAAAAAATTTTTTTTTACAGAGGTACTGGGGATTGAACCCAGGACCTTGTGGTGCTAAGTACACACTCTAGCAATGAGCTATACCCCTACTCTCAAGTTTCTTTAATCAGACTTAGCCTGGGGAGGCAGAGAGTTTATAATAAATCTCCTCATTGTTGTATTGTTGGTGGTTTAGCAAGTGAATGTAGGAGTAGTGACATATTTTCAAGGTAGCCTTTATCAGGTGTACCAGATCTTTGGCCTAGTTGAGGGAAGGACCAGAAACTTAGGTTTTGAGTTGTTTGACATCTAGGAGTTGGAAACAGGCCCCCTAGGTTGCTTCATGCCTTGGGATTAGAGAGTAAGAGTGTTCTCTACTTAGGGCCTAACAAATTATTAATGATGACCAAAGTTTTTAAATGAAAAATTGACTGTTGGACCCAACATCATTAATAGTAGTAGTATGTTATAAAAAAAATTACAAATTAAAACTATTTGCTGCTTGCATCAGATAGAATTGTCTGAGATAAAATTGACAAAATGTAGATGACTTATTTATTAAGAAGTATTTTGTTACTTGTGTTTAATAGTTCTTCACTGGAGCAAGAAAAGAAAACTGAAAAATCATTGACACCAGTCCAGACCAGAGAGTAAGCATCTCATCTGTTTTGAATATATTCTGTTACGGGTACATTTTTTTTTAATGGAATCAAATGATGCTTCCTGTTTTAGTTAGATTACATGTGATAGAATTTTTAAATAGAATCATGACAAGAATGGAAGTTACTGCCTGATTTGAGTCAGTATGAAAGCCCCACACTATTTGTGTCTTACATATGTAAGTCAGTATTATGATTTTAAGTTAAAGCTTTTAGAATGAAAGAGTTTTGTTTTAGAATAAATACAAAATACAAAGGAACAAAAGTGTACTGAGAAAAGTCTTCCAATTCTGTCTAGTACCTCTCCCTGGAGGCAACAAATGTTACCAAATTTTTAATGTATTGTTTTAGTTCTAGTCTATGTCTATCCAAGCAAACGTTTTTTCTTTTCCCTTTCATTTTCTTTCCTTTCCCCTTTTACCTTTCTTCTTTCATTCCTTTTTTTTCCCTTTTAAAGCATTCTGTATACACTGTCCTGCAAGAGGTATAGTTTTGATCCCATTAGAGAGTGTCTTTTTGTGTGCAAACCTTCACTTATATATATTATTCTGTTCCCAAGAAATCCCTCCAAGAGACCTCTTAAGAAGTTATTGTAGCTTTGTAATTCAAAGTAGGGAATTGTGGAAAATTAGCAGAAACATTGGAATTTTCTGCTTATCACATCTGATATTTCTGGTTGTCACAAGTAACAATCGTTAATGATTACTGTTTTGCTTAGAATCCACATTGTTTTAAAGTAGAACTCTCAAGATTTAGAAGTAAGTTATGTTTTTATAGATTTATAGGTTATGTTTCCTTAAATAAGACCTTAAGGAGACTGTAATTGAATGGAAAGTGTAGGGAATTTGGAGTCAATATTTGGAAAACTGTATTTGGCTGCTTAATCTATCTTTGCTGTTGTGTAATCTAGAGCAAGACTAATTTATCTTCTCCAAGCCTCAAATGGATATGAAAAACTAACCCCTAAGGGTTATTCTGAAGAGATTATAAAATGATCTGAAAACTAATGCTGTATAACTATAAGGGTTATTTTTGTTAATTCCATAATATCTGGATGATTTACTCATAACCTTACTAAGATAGAAAAGATGAACATTTATTTCTCTTTATTTTCAGAGAGAGTAAAGCCTCTTACTAAATGCTGCTAGATTAAATTAGAGAAAATCTTATAACTACGTCCTTAACAACACAGAAATTTTCAGTTAGGTTATAGGGAAGGTAAGAAATAGCTAGTAGGTTGAATTTGCAATAATTTATTTTACAAGTCCATGATCCTGAGGGAACATTTTTATATGAACTAACCTGTCTTTACATTTGGTAGGCAGGAAGGTAAGAGTACTCCTGATGGTGAAGATAATGTCGAAGTAGAAGAAGAGATGGATGATGGGCCGTTGCTGGTTCCTCGAGTAAAAGTGGCAGAAGATGGTTCAATTATTTTGGATGAAGAAAGGTAAGTTTGAAAAAAGAGAGGGAGATTGTGGTTTTATGAGAACAAATGTGCTCTGTCTACTGAGGGAGATTAAGTTTCTGTATTTGTCATTGTCACTTAGACTCTGATGTTTATATTTGTATAATGTGTGTTGTAAATAGATAGGTTAGATTCATTTATAATTTTTTTGCAATTTTTATAATGCTGTCCTTTATATGAGAAGATGGTACTGCTGATCTGCCACCCACTAACCTACTACTGTTGTTTTACTGTCTTTGTTGGTAATTAAAATGAGCTGTTGACCTAATCACATGTTGTCCTCCACTGCGGATAGATTTTCAAGATTGACTCAGACTTTTTTCTCTTTAATAAGCATCCTGAATTTTGAGATTATTTCCTGTTCTTTTTTTTTGTTTTGTTTTTAGTGGGAGGAGGTAATTAGGTTTATTTATTTTTTAGTGGACATACTGGGATTGAACCCAGGACTCTTGGGCACATTAAGCAGGCACTCTACCACTGAGCTATATACCCTCCTCCGCCAAAGATTGACTCAGTCTTGATGTCGGTATTCAACCTTCACATTATGAACTAATACTGTATTCTGGCATGTGATGATAACTATTGAAGATATAATGAAACGTAGTTTTAACATATTTTATGATTGTTTTAATGGTGAGATTTTATTGCCTTTCTGGCTTAATTTCTTAGTATAACATTAAATTTCTCAAATTTGACATTGTGAAATTTAGTTGTCTTTCCAATGAGTATATTTTAAAACAGAAAATAAATTAATAAGGAGATAAAAAGGAAGGGTGGAAAGTCTGACAGTTTAATTACAAATCATAGCATATAAGTTTTATGATAAACAAAAATTTAATACTATTAATAATAATTGTTTTTGCATATTGTGTTCCACTATTTTGTGATGATGATTTTACTGGTCATTAAATTGTTGAAAGCTTATTTAACTGTTTTGTGTTCAGGGGTTTTGCATGATAAAATAATGTATATTAAATATAGGAGACATGCAGAAATCAGTTAAAAAACAAAGAATGTTTTAGGTGGCTGGCCCAAAGACATTTCGTAAATTTTATATTGCTATTAAGGATTTTGGGGGAAAGAAAGTTGGCATTTATTTTTATTCCATGGAAATCATAGTTTAAGTGAAAATTAGCAGATTCTTGGAAAATATGCATACCTCAGATGTGTATTATGGTTTTGATACGACTTTGCTATGGTAGATTTCAAAATATAACTACTAAAATCTCATTTACTGTTTGTTTCCTTGCTTGTTTTTAGTGTAGATCTGTTTAAAAATATGTTTCTTTCAGTTTAACTGTAGAAGTTTTAAGGACAAAAGGCCCCTGTGTTGTTGAGGAAAATGACCCCATATTTGAGCGTGGTTCTACAACTACATATTCCAGTTTTAGGAAAAATTACTACTCTAAACCGTGGTCAAATAAAGGTAACTGCTTTTCATTTTAAATTTTGTGTATTATTTATTTGAAATGAAATAAATTATTTTCTCTGTTTCTGAATTAAATCAGGTTAAAAAAAACCCTAGCAAACTGCCGTGTTGTTTCTCTCTAGCTAATTTTTTGGGCACCTTTCCCATCCTCCCTACCACACGTCTGACTTTATCTTAGAAGTCTTTTTAGGAGTTAGCATTATGGTCATTTTAGCTGAAATATTCCTCTCTGTCAAATCTCTGTACAACAGGTACTTTACATGTTTGTAATCTTTGTACAATAAGTATTTTAATGAAAAATTAACAATATTTTTAATGCTCACAAAAATGTTCTACCTCAGTATTGTATAATACAGCTTTTAATGGTAGTAAGTACACAGTTTAAAAAATATATATTACTTATTGCATGCTGTTGCTTACTGCTTATTTTTTATTATAAAAATAATATAGTTTGTTTTAAGGAAAAATTTAAACACAACAGAATAATGTAGAACAAAAAGGAAGATTCCCTTCTCTGACTTCCCCAGTCCTGTTCTCTTGAGGTTACTTCTGTTAGCAGTTTCTTATGTGTTTTCTAGCTACTTTCTTTCACATACTGCTTAGCACGTCTTAGTTGCTTACATTAGCAGTAATATTATACTCGTCATGACTGACAGTTTTCTTCAAGGCACTTTAAGACCAAATAGGCAGAATGTCTTTTTAAAAATCCCTGCTACTTTGGTATGAACATTCAAATTTCTTAAGCCATGTTTCTGTATATAAGTTTAAAAAAATGTTTTTATATCCATGAGGTTCCTTGCAGGAAAACTGAAATATGTCTGTGTGCATGTACATAGATAAATTTCTATGTCTAAAGGTTTACTGGACTTTAGTAAAAAACTTAACTACTGTCAGAGGGGAGGAAATAGCTGAAGTGGTAGAGTACATGCTTAGCATGTATGAGATCCTGGGTTCAATTCCCAGTACTTCCTCTAAGAATAAATAAATAAGTAAACCTAATTCCCTCATCCCACCAAAATAATAACAACAACAACAAAAAACAAAACTTAACTGTCAAATTTATTTTTACCTCAAAAGATATACTTATGTAAGATTTCTTTTTCCTCTGAAATATTTAGGAGATTAATTCTCAATCTTTCTGAATGTTTATTTTTACAGAAACAGATATGTTTTTTTTAGCCATCAGCATGGTGGGAACTGACTTTTCTATGATCGGACAACTTTTTCCTCATAGAGCCAGGATAGAAATTAAGGTAAAGTAAACCCATCACATTTGTTAACTGAAAAGAGACCAAAATGTATTACTTTTTAACCTTTGATTGAAATCTCATTCCATCCTTTTCCACTACTGTGTTTTTGGTACAACTATCCTTTACAGCTCATAAAGTAGTGTAAGGAGGGGAGGGTATAGCTCAGTGGTAGAGTGTGTGCTTAGCATGCACAAGGTCCTGGTTTCAATCCCTAGTACCTCTTATAAATAAGTAAGTAGGTAAGTAAATAAATCTATCTAATTACACCCCCTCCAAAAGTAATGTAATATTTCTCAATTCTAAATTGAGTATAATCTCTTTAACCCTCAGTATTACATTTTCTGGTTTATATCTACCCACTTCTAAAACAGATTCAACCAACCTCGGATTGTGTAGTACTATAGTATTTATTATTGAAAAAAACCTATGCGTAAGTGGAACCACACAGTTCAAACTCATGTTGTTCAAGAGTCAACTGTAACTGTAGTCTTTAATATGTAGTCACATATTTGGTGAAATTGTTTTTCTGTGACTGTTTTCAAGATTTTTCTTTTTAACTTTGGTGTTCAGCAGTATGTTTATGATTTGCTTAAGGGTTTTTAAAATATTTTTTGTCTGCTTTGTTCTCTACTTCTGGTGCCTCACTTACATGTGTCAGTCTGCATGACATTGTACTAAATATTATTAAAGCTCTGTCTTTCTTCTCCCTCAAGTCTTTTTTCTTCGTTTCAATTTGGTTAGTTTCTGTTACCGTGTTTACAAGTTCACTACCCTGTCTTCTGCTATCTTCAGTCTGCTGTTAAGCCCGTTCAGTGATTGTTACATTTCTGATATTATATTTTTATTTCATTTCCCTGATTGTGTGTCTCATTTTCCTACCTTTTCTCATGTCTTGTGGTGGTGTTTTTTTTTTTTTTTATTGCATGCTGGACATTGTGGCTGATATGTTGCACAATATCTAGATTATGTTTGCTTGCTTGTTTTTCCCTTAAAGAGGGTTGAGTTTAGTTCTAGAAGGCAGCTGATATATTGTCAACTCTCCTTATTCGTGTCAAGGCTTAGTTTTACTCTTTATTAAGATTGATCTTTACTCTAGGTTTCTCATCTGAACTATAGAAAATAATTTCAGTTACTGTTTTCTAATTTCTCCAAGGATGGTCATATTAGTCCCACTGTAGGTGCATAGGAAAAGAAGGTAATTTATTACATGGAGTAGATGCCTTAGGGCATTAGGGCTTAATTCTCATGCTAGAACTTCGATTGAGAAAGGCTGCTTTAGGCTGTCATCCCTGTCTTTAAGTGGTGGTGGTTCTGGTCTGAAGTGAATGTCTCAGTGTTATCAAAGTTTTTCCATTCATGTGGACTAGAACCCTGTCATCTCACTATGTTATGTGACTTCTAGTATCTTCTTTCTGTTCCCGTCCCTGTAGTAGTAATTCTCCACGCCTTATGCTCTGGGCATATGCAACCCAGATGTAGACCAATAACCTATGGGATACTTCTGCCAGGCTTGTGAGGCTTTTCTTTAAATAGCTCTCTTCTCTGTGGAACCCTGCCCCTAAAGATTCTCGACTTCCTCAGCTCAGTGGGATCTCTGTGCTCTAACTGGTCTTTATCTCTCCTTCATTGGTTAGGAAATTTACCCCAAGCAGAAAGAAGGGTGAACATTGGTACATCTTTTGTTTCCTTTCTATCTGGGGTTTTAGGATTGTAGTCTTGCTCTGCCTATTGTCCAATGCTTGAAAATAATTGATGCATTTATTTTGTTCAGTGTTAAAGTTATTTATGGTAGATTGGATGTGTGGAATAAGCCCATAACCAGATACTTTGTCAGGACCAGAGGTTGAAATTATTTGATTTATTTTATGATCGTGGAATTTGGCCTACAGTGGTTCCTGTCCATGAATTCAATAACTAATACCAATACATTCTTCATAAAAGTTTTACATTTTCTAAATTCTATTCCCAATTAGGTAAAATATGATGTAGCCATGTTTTAGAATTGAATAATGCCTAAAGCCTATTGGCATTTCTCTTAGGATGTTTAATTTAGTGATTGTAGCCTATCACTTTTTTGGAGGTGACTTTTGTTAACTTTTGAGCAACTGTTTAAAGAATAATATGATTTCTTAAGGGAGAAAGATGATCATCCTTGAAAACTTCTGTATTACTTGGTAACAAGTATTATGAAGAAAGATAAGGAAAGAAAAAGAGGAGGGGGAGGGTATAGCTCAGATGGCAAAGTGCATGCTCAGCATACACAAGGTCTTGGGTTTAATCCCCAGTACCTCCTGTAAAAATAAATAAATCTAATTATCTCCATGCCCCCTCCCCCCAATACAAAACGAACAAAAAAAGAACTTAGGAGTGAAAAAGAGGGGTAATCTGTAAATTGAAAGATGTTGGTCATATGAAGCTTTAAAATAATAAGCAAGGCTAAACTACAGAGCTTAAGGAGTTACCCTTGAATGACAAGCAGTAAGAGGATGCAAGAAAGTTATTGCTTTAAAAGTCAGTTTAGTGCTTAGGTTCTTTTGGAAGGAAGAGGGGGGCCATGAAGCAGTTACTTTGTGTGATGTCACTCTTTTTTTCTCAATAAAATGTTTGATTTTTGTATTTTTAATGAAAGCTTTTAGGCAACTGATAAGAAAGGAGAGACTGGTTGATTGTTCCGTCTCCTAGGATGTGTATGTGTATGTATATTCCCTCAGACTTTCTAATGTCCTTAGAATGCATTGAGCCTTAAACCTTTACCATTTCTATCTTAAAGGAGATAATCTGGAGTGAAATGGACTCTTTGGTCCTCAGAAAAGCATAAGAAGGTGTTCCTTAATATCAAGAAGATTCTTAAGATTAACTTGGCCTGCTTCAAAATTTTGCTTGTTTCTTTACCGTCTCCCCTCCATGCCATTAAAAACATATTAAAATCATAGTGTAAGAGGTTTAATATGATACAAATATACTAGTTTTTAAAGAGTTAATACTGCTTAGTTTAATTGATTACAATTTGATCTGTTTCTACACTAGTTGACTTTATTTTTTTTCCTGTCCTGTAAATCTAGCTTCCATTGCTGATTCATGCTGTTGATCATAAGGAGAATCAGAGAGCTCATATAAATCTTTCATCTCTATTTTTAAAAAGCTTAAGGTTTAAGTAACTCACCTGTTAGCAAAGATATGTTATTTATTAGAGAATCATATGTTATTAAAAGAATTTCATTTTGATATTTTTTTTAACATAATTTTCACTTGTTACATGGGAGAAGATTACCATAGGTTTTTTGTTTTCTTTTGTTAACAGAATAAATTTAAACGAGAGGAGAAAACAAATGGATGGAGAATAGACAAAGCATTCCGTAAGTATTAAGACTTCTTTTATAACATATCATTTGGAGAGCCCCCAAAATGACCAATGTTTTGTCTTTGGTTCCAGTGTGTTTTAGATTTGTTTTATCCTTATATTGTCATGGGATGAGTAGGACTGGAAGTTTTTCTCTTTATCAGTTCAAATCTGGCACTTGATACAGATCTGTAGGTAAAGAAGTAGCTGAAACATCAAGAAGGAAGTAAGCAGAGGTCTGAGTCCAGGAAATTATAGAGGGACTGAAGATACCACTTCTAAGCTCTCTTTGTTCTGGGAGAACTGTTTTGAAAAAGTTAATTATTTCTGGAAGATATTATACTATAGATGATTCCTTACCGTGGTCAGTCTGTCACTCAGTCAATAATACAGACCACCTGCTATGTGCTAGTCACTGTTGCGGGCATTGAGGATATAATGGGGAACAGTGCAGATGAGAATACTGCTTTTAGAGCCTTAAGTCTAATTGGGTGGAGAAAGAATATAATTTCAGGATAATTTCAAATAGTGGTTAATTTCTAAGAAGAAGCAGAAAGTAGGAGTTGGTGTGTGGATATTTAGATTGTGTGTTCAGGGAAGTTCTGTCTGAAGAGATGACATTTGAATTTAGATCTGAAGGAATTTATGGATTGAAGTAATGAAGTATAGCTTTTCACCTTTAACTAATAGCCTCATTCAAATTAACATTGCTTTTTTTTTTTAAAGTCCAGAGAAGGACATCAAGGGATCTGTAAAGAAAAACAGAATTAAATGTACTGTTTAAAGTAGTTCCTGTGTTCTTTGTTTGGAAGATAATTACTAACATTTTATGATTAATAAATATATTCACTTTTCATTTGCTGTAGTCAGTCCTGATCTTAGAAAAAAATTCTAAAGAGAGGTACTTAGATTGTGTAGCAGGTACATTTATTTTATGCGTAGACACAAAGGTAGATAAGTGGACCCCATCCCATATCAATGTGGTATTGTGTTCTCAGAAAAACCATTTCCAGGAATGGCTCCTGGAAGCTCTGAAATACTGTAGTCCTGAACCCTTTCCATTTTGGAGAAGTGGTCCTGAAACTTTTCATTATGTTTAATGCATTATAATAAGAAAAGAATCCATAAATCTATAAACAGTCTTTATGGGGTGTGGAGCCATTGTTAAGACCATTATAATAGAATCTTTAAAATTCACTGTTCAGTGTTTTATAGTGGAAGTTGTTAAGAAAAAAAAAACCCTAATGATGTTTCTTGGAATTTATATCTTGAATTTTTCTGAGAATCTTTATGGATTGAGTGCTGTTTTTCAGAATCATTCTTGTGGACGGTCAGAACAGATAAAAGCTGGGTCCATGATAAAACAGGGCTTTCAAGAATTTCAGGTTTGGGCTTAGTTTTCTGAATCTGGTATATACCTCGTTTTCTAAGGCTGTCTTATCTTGTAATCCAAACAATCTTGGGGCTTACATATATAGAGCACCACTTTGTCTGCATTCACTGTTTGTATACGTAGAGCTTAGGCAAGGATCTGACTTCTGGAGTGGATTCATTCTGGTTTGTTCATGGATTACTCTTTCTGATATAATACTGTTAGTGGGTATTTAGTGAGAGTGGGCCTGATCAATACTCATTAACTTCCCTCTTTGCTAATATTTGAAAGAGCATAGTTAATAGTGAAAGGGTTGTAATTAAGTGAGGACATAAAGTGATGGATAGGTTTTTGAGGACTTCTTAGTCATCCTAGCTTTTTAAAAAAGTGTATTTACAATTTATGCACAGTGTAATTTGTAGTTTGAATTTTGGTGAAGAATACGCCTGTGTAACCACCACATAAAACAAGACATGGGACTTTTTTTTTTATTTTAATTTAATTTTTTATTGAAGTACAGTCAGTTACAAAGTGTCAATTTCTGGTGTACAGCACAGTGTCCCAATCATGCATATATATACATATATTCATTTTCTTATTCTTTTTCATTAAAGTTTTTTTTGGGGGGGACATTTTCATCACTCCAGAATGGCCACTTGTTTCCCTTTCTCATCAGTCTCCACCGCTAATCCCGACCCAGACAACCACTGTTTTCATTTGAGTCATCATAGATAGATTAGTTTAGCTTGTTCTAGAACATCTTACTCATAGAATCAAATAGTATGTGCTTTTTAGTGTTTAGCTTCTTTCATTCAGCTTATTTGTGAGATTCACCTGTATTATTGCTTATATCAGTAGTTGCTTTTTTTTAACTAATGTATTACTTTTTATTGCTCAGTGGTATTCTGTTATGACTATACTACAGTGATTAGCGTTGTTTATCTATTCTGCTAATAAGCCCTTTTGCTTTTGATGTTATGATACCTAAGGAAAAAAAATTTAAGTTATTTTTCTTTTTTTAAATGAAAACTTGAAGGTTCTCTCTTTTTTTTAAACAGAGGAAAAGCGCCCTTTTGACTTCGATTTTTTTGCTCATTTGCTTCAGAAAGTTCTTGCTGAAGAAGAGAAAAGAAAACAAAAATCTGTTAAAAATCAGAGTTTAAAGGAGAAAAAGTCCTCTAAATCACGGAAAAATGTAAAAGGTATTTATTTAAAAGAAAGTGTTTTATTTTACTTAATAGTAATAGACTTGCAATATTGTCCCTCAAATCGTAGAGCATTCATATCTAGTTCAGGTAGTTGAGATCATCAGGGCATCCAACTGGAGGGAATTCATGTTTCTTCGGTCTCCCAGTCATCTGGCCCCAAACAGCAACTCCCTTTTAAATTTTGTAATTGGCATGACTGGGCTATTTGACATCTTTCTTGCATCTAGGACATAGTTGTAGCTAATAAAGGAGCATCAGAATTTTGGGATGTCATGTGTGGTTACTTACTGTCATTTTCCTCTATAAAACAAATCTGAGACAAAAGTCTGATATTAAAAAAAAGATTGAACTCTAATATTTCAGGCCTGTAACTAAACTGTATTGTTTGAGCGAGCACAGCTTATTTCTGAGGGTTAATATTGACTTGTACCAGGTAGGAAATTCTTATATGTGGGTGTTCCTATTTTTAGGCTTTTATTTTCTTAACTATTTGAACTCTGACCTATGAGGGTAATGTTTAGCTATAACCACATAATTTAAAGAATCTTGAAACTACAGGAAACCTTATGTATTAGTTATACATCCCAGCCCCTTTCCTTTTGTTTTAATGACTCAGAAATAGCCTCAGAGATCCTAAGTCATTTTTTTCCCCAAAGTCTCACAGTGTTAGTGGTGACAGAGGCAGGACTCAGCCTAGGACTGTGAGAGCCTGTGTTGGAGGACCCCAAGACCACCCCCAGGTTCGATTATTTGCTAAGATTCACAGGATTCAGCATATAGTTGTACTAACAGCTGAGATTTATTGTAAGGAGAGGATACAGAGCAAAATCAGCAAAGGGAAAAGGCGCATAGGTCAAAGTCTAGGGAAAACAGTTGCAAGCTTCTAAGAATCCTGTCCCAGTAGAGTCATACAGGTTGTGCTTAGTTCTCCAGCAACAAGTAGTGATGAGATATGTAAAAAACTGTCTACCAAGGAAACTTGTTAGAAACTCATCACCCAGGGTTTTTGTTGGAGGCTGGTAACATATGTAGACACCTTCTGCCTGGTGTGTACCAGAATTAAAAATTCCCAGAAGAAAAGCAGTTGTTCAGTAGTTGTGCTAACAGTTTAGGTTTAGTGAGCCACTTTTGTCAGGCTAGTGGGAACTCTCCCCAAACCCAAGTTCTCAGACACAGTCCAAGAGCCAACCTTTTAAGCAGGCACTTCAAAGGAGAGCAGTGAGGCCTGCTATGTTAAGTCCTTTCTGTACAGAGCCAGTCTAGAACTTCTTCTAGAGCACAGTGCCTCTATCTTTTTAAAAGTAGTACTAACTTCAAAGTTATTTCTGTGTAGAAATTTTTTTTTTGCTTGCTATATGTAACCCTAAGAAATTTAAATTATATTAATCTGTCAGTAATTGTATGATTATTATGTTAATGGGTAATAGCATAAGTAAGTCACTGTATCTTATTTAATGTGAGAACCTTTCAGGTATTTTATTATAAGTTTCAGAGTTTAAAAATTGCTGATTATTATTCTGATAAAGAATAAATCCAGTATTTGTTTTTTAGTTTTAAAAATTTTGACTTTTCTTGAATAAAAGTAAATAACATTGAATTTTATTATTTTTTAAGGTTAGTTAATTTTAGAGACCATGTCTGATGTACTGTTGTTGTAAAGTTTGTTTTTGGTTTGGATACTCTTTTTTGTTTTTCTAGAAGTAATTTATTACTTTCATCTTTTGATACACTTAACTGTTAGTATCCCTTCAAGGAAAGGCACTAGAAATTGCTTAAAAATATTTGTTAATAAGATTGTTCATTAAAAAACAAATGATACAGAAAATTTTCAAACTCTCTTTCCTACCCTGCCCTCAAATCAAATTCTTTAGATTTCTTAGGTATAATTATTGGTAAACTCTTCTGTGCCTATGTATGTGTCTTAAAGTACATGTAATTGTTTTTCTTAAATAAAAAAGAGATCATACTATGCACATTGTTCTGCAACTTGATTTTTTTATGCAACAGTATTTTCTGAGATCTTTTACGCTGTTACATATAACCTCATTATTATTTACTGCATGGATTTTTATAGTATAAATTTATTATAACTTATTCAGTCATCCTCTATTGCACACTTTAGGTTGTCTTCAAATCTTTGCTCAGACATTGCTAAATATTTGTCTTGCCCACCTTTAAGAATTTTTCTGCAGGTTGTTTTTATAACAATTTCTCTTATTTTCAGTGAAAAAAGTTGCCAGTGAAAGAGTGAACAATGATCCGGATGAGTCTGTGAGCACTAAAGTTTCAGACACAGGAGGATCTCAAAAGGATACTCAGACAGTTGAAGAAGAACAACAGTCTCTGACTTTATCAGGACAGAATTCAGAACAGATGACATTAGAACAAGACCTAAATCAAAAGAAAAAGAGGAGAAAGAATCAGGATGAAGGTGGTAAACAAGTAAAACATCTTTCAGGAAATGCCACTATTCAGCCAGGCTCTTCTAAAGGAGAAAAACACAAAAGTAAGTTTATTATGTATTTTAATAGCCCCTATATTACTTGTGAAGACATGTACACTAATACGATGTATAACTGAAATATTTTCCTCCTGGATGGTAGCAACTAATAATGCTTATTAGTTGATTCTGTATTCTTGGTCCTGTGTTAAACCCTTTTATTTTTCGTTTAAAGGAAAAAAAAATTTATTGTTAAAAAACAAAAGTGAAATGGGGAGATTTTTCTCTAAAGTTTGTCTTTAAGATATGTTACCTCCTATTTACTCCCATTAATGATGATTCTAAGTCACATATATGTGTAGTAAATATATATTATGTCTGTTAATAAAGCACAGGGTTTCATGATCTACCTCTATAGAGCACCTTTATGAACCCACAATAAGTTGTTTAATTTCTATAAAAGAGCTACTAGAATAAGTATTCCTCTCATTTGTCTTTCTTTAAACTCCCTAGAATGCAGGCATTTTTGACACTAAAGAGTTACTAGTGAATGAGGGCTTAGAGTTTAGAGAAATCTTAGTCTCTTTCTTTATGAGTTGATGTATATTATTTTAAGCAGATAACCAAGAAAAGAGAGGAGAAAAGGTAGTAGCAGACCAGAACAACCTTTCTGTAGAATTTAAATTTTATGTAGTTCAGCTTCACCAGTAAGATTTTAATAAGTGAGTCCTGATAGGTAACATAGTGTGATTTATAGGTATCATAATGCTCTTTTGTGGCTTACTATTAAAAACATTACATATAAAGCAGAATAGCTCAGTGATTAAGACTTTGGACTTTGGGACAATTTCTTAATCACTGCATTACATTCCAGTGTTATATGTAAATTCCTTTGTGCTTTAAAAAATGTTTTTGCTATCATTTTTATAATAATGTGCATTTTATGTTAATAGATAAATGCCTATCTTTAAGTCCTGAGATAAATGAAGATGAAGGCAATAAGGAGCAGACACTTCCGTCTGTACAGAACATAGACGACATTGTGGGTTTATCCTCCAGTGAAAATGTTGAGAAAAGAATTGACCCTATTCTTTCATCAAGGTATTTTCTATATCTTTACTGATTTTGTCTACATCTTTTATAAGTTACTGAAGGAGGAGTGTGACATCTCCAACTGTAATTGTGAATTTGCTTATTTCTCTATATCGTTCTGTTTGTTTTTCTTCATGTCTTTTGAAACTTTCTTGTTAAGTGCATACATACCTAGGATTGTTCTGTCTTCTTGGTGAAATCACCGTTTTATCATTTGTGTGATATTATTCTAGTATTGCTCTTTGTTCTGATGCCGACTTTGCCACTGCAGCTTTCTTGTGGTTGGTGTTTGCATGGGTTTATCATTTTCTCTTTGATTTTCAGCAGTTTGTGATGTATCCTGCTGAGGGGTTTTTTTTATTTGTTTGAATTTTTTTGGTTTGTTTTTACTTGCGGTAAAAAACACATAACATGAAACCTACTCACCTAACAAGTTTTTAAAATGTATAGTATTGTTAACTATAAGCACAGTGTTGTACAGCAGATCTCTAGAGCATTTCCATCTTGCGTGACTGAAAATCTCTTCATTGAACTCAATATTTCCTTTTTACCCCAGTCCCTGGCAACCACAATTCTACTTTCTGTTTCTATGAGTTTGGTTACCTTAGATACCTCATGTAAGTGGAATCATGTAATATTTGTTCTTCTATAACTGGCTTATTTCATCTAGCATAATGTTTTCAAGGGTCATCCGTGTTATTAGCATATGACAGGATTTCCTTTTCTTTGGTCAAATAATACTCCATTGTGTGTATATATTACATTTTCTGTATTCATTTTTTTGGGACATTTAGGTTGTTTTCATCTTTTGGCTATTGTGGATAATGCTGCAATAAACATGGAAGTGAAGGTATTTCTTTGAGATCTTGTTTTCAATTCTTCTGGAATAAATGGCCAGAAGGGGAATTGGTAGATGATAAGATAACTCTGTTTTTAATTTTTGAAGGGCTTCCATACTGTTTTTCATCGTGGCTGCATTTTACATTCCTATGCACAATGCGTAAGGATTCCAGTTTTTCCATATCATTGCCAGCATTTGTTACTTTCTGTTTTGTTTTGTTTTTTTGAATTAATATATAATGACCTGACAGGTGTGAGGTGATACCCTATGGTGAAATTGTTTTGCATTTTCCTGATAATTGTGATGCTGAGTTTGTTTAAATGTTATTGTTGGCCATTTGTATGTCTTCTTTGGAGAAATGTGTGTTCAATTCCTTTTCCGATTTTTTAATTGAGTTACTTGGGGTTTTTTGCTGTTGAATTGTAGGAGTTCCTTTTATATTTTGGTTATTAGCCCTTATCAGATATGTGGTTTGCAGATTCTTTTCTCCATTCCATAGGTTGCCTTTTGACTCTGTTGATTGTTTATTTTGCTGTGCAGAAGTTTTTTAGTTTGTTACTATCCCACTTGTCTATTTTTGCTTTTGTTGCCTGTGCCTTTTATGTCATATCCAAGAAATCATTGCCAATACCAGTGTTGTGAAGCTTCCCGCCATGTTTTCTTCTAGCAGTTTAGTAGTTTAAGTATTATCTTTAAGTCTTTAATCTATTTTGAGCTGATTTTTGTGTATGGTATGAAATAAAGGTCCAGTTTCTTTTTTTTTTTTTGCATTTGGATATCCAGCTTTCCCAACATCACTTATTGAAGAGACTATCCATTTCCTATTGTGTAGTTTTGGCACTTTGTCAAAGATCATTTGACTATATATGTGTGGGTTTATTTCTGGTCTGTCTCTTCTGTTCCCTTGGTCTATATGTCCCTCTTCTGAAAAATTTGAAAGCCGTTTATTCTCATATAGAAAAAATACACATATATGGACATGTGCCAATTTATTCATACAATTCAGAAGATTAATAGTTTCTCTGAAGCCATGCCACAGACCTCGGGTCCTGAACTTGTTGGGTGACAGACATCTAAATTGTAACCTCAGCAACACAACTAATTTCTTAAATTATGCACAAAATAATACTGATGACTTTTTTTAGGAGAAAAACAACCCTGTAATGACTGTTAAAAGTCCCAGCTGGTTTTGTAAAACAGTATGCTGATTCTAAAATTGTTATGTAGACAAGAGTAAAGGGTCATGAATGGTAAAGACAATTTTGAAAAACAACTGTAGAGAAGAAATGTACTGAGACTTATTCTAAAGCTAGAGTGATTAAAGCAGTGTGGTACTGGTGAGGGACAAATTGAAAGGAACTGGATGTAGAGAGGAAATAGGTGTAGAATCTAAGAAGAGAAATTTAGGAATCTGATATGGCAGAGGTAGCATTAGAAATTAGTGGCTAAGGGTTGGACTAACTATTCATTAAATGGTGCTTAGATATGAAAAAGATAATATTAGATCCCTATTTTACCCTATACACTAACTTTCTGAACTATTTAATAAAGACTACATGTATAAAGCACATCTTTATAACTTTTTGAAGAAAATGTAGAAAAAATATCTTTGTGATGCCAAGAATTTCTTAAGACATAAAAAGCACAACCATTTAATGGATAAAACTGATAAATTCAACTGCAGTAAAATTAAATACTTCTGTTGACAAAAGGCTCTGTGAAGAAAGTGAAAGGCAGGCTGCTGTTTGGGAGGTTTTATGTGTAACATCTAACCAAGAAAAAATATATAAGGAGCTCTGACAGGTCGGTTGGGAAAAGACAAACACCTAGTAGAAAAAAATTGCCAAAAAAAAAAGGAAGCATGACTAAATATGAATTTGTGCTGAATACTGAGTGCTAGTTAGTACGTGCCATCGGTTATTTTTTTTTTAATTTTTTTCCTTTTGCAGGGAGGAGGTAATTAGGTTTATTTATTTATTTGATTTTTCAGTGGAGGTATTGAGAATTGAACCCAGGACCTCAGGCATGCTAGGCATGTGCTCTACCACTTGAGCTATATCCTCCCCCTATATTATTGTTAATTGAAGTATTTCATAATACAGTGATCCTCTGTTTTCATAATACAGTGTTAACTGTAACTTGTGTGTGTTGGAACTGTGTCCTAGATTTATATGACATTTTGGTTAACACAGTACCATGCAAAGCAAGGATTATCTATATAACATTTTAATGAAAGTTAATTCCTAAACATTATTATGATTTCACACATATGTTTGATTTGTGAACCCCATATAATTAAGAGTTCTTTATTTTGTGACTTCTTGAGCACTTTCCCTGTAAATTTGTGGCTGTTACTATCTTCAGAGGTACAGTGTTTTTCAATAACATGGTGCTTCTTGCCATATCCATTTTGATTATTCCATGATATGAAGGATCATCTTCCAAAGTTTTGGCTTTGTATATTTTAAAAAATCTTTTAAATAATTAGGATGAAATATGTATTACTAAGAATTGTTTTCCTCTGATATGTTTTCATTTCCTTAGTAGCCAACAAGATGCTTTATCAATAGCAACTGAGACTTCAGAATCAAGTACTTCAGATTTGCCTTCCTCAGAAGTTGGCATGAGAGCACTGTGTAAGGTGAATAATGCTGAGGACAGTTACACAGAAGAAAGAAATGTTGACCTAAAAAATAAATCACTGTAAGTATTTTACATGGTAGGATTTTAAAGTTTATTTTCAAAATTTTGATAATTTCTTATTTAAGACATGATAATGTTGCTTCCTTTAGGAATTAGGAAGGGACTGCAGACCACTTTATATAATTGTTTTGTGGTCCTAGTGATATCAAGGTTTTTCACTTTATGTTTCACTACAGAAAGATTGTCTTTTATATCTGATGTATAATAGTGATATGAGTTATAGCAAAGTGATACCTTATGATAAAATTCTAAAGTAATTTGGAAACCTAAATATTTGCTATGAGATTTAACTTTTACTTGGTTTATTTTTCATGCCTATTGTCAAAGTAGTAGATTTTGATATTGATGTGTTTAAAGAGATTATGTATTACATTTTCTAGTAGGAAAATACTGGTTAAATGACTATCTTCACTACAAACAGAATAAAAGCACCACAAGGATCTCCCTTTGAAAATGTATCTCAAAAATTCAGACTTCCTTTTTATCTCCTTCCTAGCTCCTCATATGGGCTTAAAAGCTATTTAGTTTATGAATTCTTATTTTCAGTAAAGCATAGTACATTGAGAAGCGAACTTAACTTTTAAATAAAAATTTAAACTGGTCTTTGGAATAAGCAATATATTCCTATCTTTCAAACATCCAAAAGTATGAGAAGGTATAGAGTGGAGTGTCCCTCCTACTATGTCCCCAACTCACTCTAACAAGTAACCACTGTTATTTATTTCTTATATTCTTTCAGAGATTTTTTTTTTTAAAACAACATTAAAGCTACTAGAAATACTCACACACACACACACACATATTTTTTTACTCTTTTAAAAAACCTAATGGTAATATTATACATACCATTTTGCAATTGTTTGGTCTTATATCTTCATATTTTTATGTAAAGACCTTCCTTATTCTTTTTATACTTGCATAGTGTTCTGTTGTATTGATGAATCACAGTATTTATTATCAGGCCCTGTTGATGGCTATATATGTTGTTTTTACAAAATGCTTAGAAACGTACACCTCTGTCCTTTCATCTTTGTGTAAGTGTATTTGTAGGATAAGTTCCTTAAAATGGGATTGCTAGCCCAGAGGATATATATGTGTTTGTGTACATTTATACATTTATGATTCTGATAGGTATTTCAAAAATGCTCTCCCTAGGAATTATTCTAGTTTATATTCCCACCAACAACGTGAGAAATGTCTCCCTTATCAACAGTGTTATAAAACTTGGATTTTTGTTGGTCTTGATAGATTATAAAATAATCTCTCAGTATGATATCTCTACCCCACACCTTTTTTTGACAGTGATAATGTAATTCTTTCATTCTTTTCTTTCAGTTGCTTATTTAAAAATTTTCTAACCTTAAGAAAAGTCAAAAGAATAGAACAATGAACATTTATATATGATTTCCCATAGATTCTCTGATTCTTAACGTTTTGTCACATTTGTGCTCACTTGCTCTATCAGCTTTTACTTTGAAGTGAAGTTGAGCATCTTTTCACATTTAAAATCTATTTTTATTTTGTTTTCTTTTTGTGAGTTGTTTGCATCCTTTGTCCAGTTTTTTAATGAGTTTTTTCTTTCCCTTTTGGTAGGAGTAATTAGGTTTATTTTTTAATGAAGGTACTGGTGATCGAACCCAGGACCTTGTGCATACTAAGCAGGCACTCTACCAACTGAGCTATACCCTCCCCCTAATGAGTTTTTGGTACTGTTTTGTAGGAGCTCTTTATATTTTAGAGAGGTTAGCCTGTTGTACGAGTTGTAAAACATACTTTTCTGGTTTATCATTTGATTTAGTCATGTTTTGGCTATGTAAATTTTTTGATTTTTATGTTACCAAGTTTCTCTCTTTTTTTTGTTTTATGGCTCCTGAACTTTTAATTAAGTTTGAAAAAGGCTTATCCTATCTCGGGGTTATGAACGCATTCATGTTTTCTCTATGGTTTCATTTAAATCTTGGATCCATTTAGAATATATTGTGAGTACAGTACAAAGAATGGAGGTAATTTTATTTTATTCCACAGTATTATCAGTTTCCCCATCATAATTAATTTAATTTAGTATTTATTTTTAAAATACATTATTTTGTATTTCATCTTATCCTCAACTGTTTTGAAATGCTAACTTTATTATATACTATAATCGTATGTGTTTTGGAGTCATTTTCTCAGTTTTCTTTTGTGTTCCATTTATCTGTTTATTCCTGTCAGTACCACAGAATTTTGATTATTGATGCTGAATAGTATATTTTTAACATTGGATAAAACAAATTAGTTACCCCTTCATTGCTCTTCTTGTTCAGTTTTCTTTGCTACTTTTGTTGTAAGCTTAAAGGAGTTTTTTTCTGTCTCTGGATTTTTAAAAAATTTTCCTTTTGAATATGCCTGCGTGTTGGTGCAGTTTAAATAATGTTAATTTTCTAGGGAAACTGATCAAACAGAAAATATTAAACCAATGACGAGAGGACGATTACAGAGACCTAAACCCAATTTATCAAGGGCAGTTGGGAAGAAATCAGTTCTTTCACAAGGTAAAACAGATGCAGAGAGCAAGAGTTTGCATCTAGAAACTTCAGTTGAAAAGGTATGGAATGAGAGACTTTTGTTTGTTTGTTTTTTAAAGAGAATCATCCATTTGGTAACTTATACTTCTGTCAGAATGGAATCTTTTTTTTTTTTAATTGAAGGGGATAGGTAATTAGGTTTATTTATTTTTTAATTTATTTTTAGTGGAGACACGGGTTGAACCCAGGCAGTGGGCTGTACCTTCCCCTCTGGAGTTGGAGACTTGATGAAAACTAAAATTATAAAATTTTTTTCTGAACAGTTGGGAATAAAAATATTTAGCTTTTAATTACAAGGAAATGTTACTGATAGTAAAACCAAAATATAAGAACTTTGTACATTAATATTAAATATGTCTTATTAGTCTCATGTTTATGCATTTTCTTTAGAATCTAGGACATATCATTTCAAACATCCTTAGTAGTGACAGATTTGTCTTTTGTATAAATATATAAAATTTTTATTCAAAATATTTCTTAAACCAGCTATAATAAAATTATATCCACAACCCCTTTGTCTAAACATAGATACATTTCTGTGTTTGTCCTTTATAAACTTTATCTCTTTTTATGTAAGTAAACGTTTCTATAGTTTTAATCATAACATATATAGCATTTAAAACTTCTCTGAAACTGTTCATGTACACTTTCTTGAGGTTAATTGATCTTTTTAATAGCTGCATCAGCTATTAACATATTATTAGTTTACCTAACCATTTCTAATGTTTAGGTTGTCTCCATTTTTTTAACTCTTGTAAATAAAAGCAGACAATTTTGTTACTAGGTAAGGAATCCATATCCAGAGGTGATGGGATTAATAAGCCAAATTAAATATTTTTATGGTTCTTGTTATGCATTGTCAAACTGTCAGTCAAAAAGAAAAATCAGTCTATTTACATTGCTACAAGCATTAAATGAATGTTCCTGTTGCCTTATGTCCCTGCCAGTGTTATGTTGTTAAAAATGTCTTATTTTTGCTAAAATAATTTCTAAAATTTTAGTCTACTTTTTTCCTCTTATGTGATCTCTTTTTTATCATACTTTTTATAATCTATTATTTTAATCTTATAAGGTGTTTTTAAATTCTAGAAAATTGGGAAATACAGACTTATGTAAACATTAAAACAAAAATTACTTAATTTTACTATCTACATGCAACCAGTCTTTTGGAATATATCCTTCCAGCTTTTCTTTTACAAGATTGAGTAGTGCTATTCAGTTTTTTATCCTTCTTCGGTTTTCTCACTTTCCATAAATATTTTTCCATATCATTAAATGTCTTTTGAAGACATAGTTTTAAGTGACTTGATAATATCCTGCCAGTGGGTGTAACTGGATTTGTTTAACCGTTTATTCATTATTGGATATTTTGTCTGTTTACAGTGTTTGCTATTTTGCATAATGTTTCAGTGAACATCCTCGTACTTAAATCTTTGTCTAAATATTTTTTTAGAATAGAGTCTTAGAAATGCTATTACTGTGTCAAAGAATATGAACATTGTTAAAGCTCTTGATTCATATTGCCAGAGACTTTCCAGAAAGGATTTACCAATTTGTGCTTCTATCAGTAATGTATGAGATAATATGTGTAAAATATTTGAATTTGCATTTATGATTTTAAAAACTTCCTTCTAATAGAAGTACAAAAAAGTGAAATTTCATTGTTTTAATTTCCATCTATTTATTTGTTTGTTAGAAAATTTGTACTTTTTATACTAAGTAGATTAAATATAAAAAATTATATTTGTAGAATCACATGGAAAAGGATAAAATGAATACATTTGATATTCCTGGAATGGAGAATTCAGAGAGAGAGAACCCAGAAGCTGACACTGTATCTAAGTAAGTATTTAGGAAGTAGAATAAAAATAATAACTCTTAGGAATGACTGTAATGACTTGTTTTCTACTTGATAATGTTGAATTTTATTTTCAGCTAGTGTACATAAGGCTGTTTTTTTTTTTAAGTCTATTTTTAACCGTAGGTATTGTTGAAACATTTGGATAATGTTCTTTATGCTTGGTACTGTAGAAGTAAATTATGGTATGGATCTGGTGAATTAACAATTACCCTTCTCCAGCTTATTAAAACAAGATTTTAACAAAGTCTTATTAGATAAATTAATGGTGTTTCTGGGTATTCTTATAGCAGGGGATTTTAAAAGGGAATAATGAACTTGGAATGGAGATCTAGAATAGACTTTGCTCCAATATAAATCTGAACCAGTGGATTCTGGACTATATGTTTGTGCCATAATGTGTGTCCCAGCCCCAGCCCTGGAGATACACAATACACAGTGGTAATACTATTACTAATAGTAATAATATTACTAATATTGGTAATACTATTTCTCAGTGGGGAATAGTATTCCATGCTTGTCAGATACAAATTTTTCCAATATTGTGATGTAAATTTGATTTTAAAATGCTTTTTTATAGTCAGGCTTCTAGGACTGTGTTCTAGTGAGTTAAGGTATGAATACCTTTGAGGTTGTTCTTGAGGCCACTGTTTAATTATTTTGTATTTCAGATGATTTACTTATTTATACCTGGGAGAGTGGAATACTGAAAACAAGCAACTATGTGACATACAACTAATTATGTGACTTCAGAATGACCATTAATTTTATTCCTTTGTAACTGTTGTAGTTTGAGTGAAAAAATTTGTCTTCAGGAAGATAATCAGCCAAAGGCTTTCAGACCTTCACGACTAATGAGGGGCTTATTGCAAAGGCCCAAACCGAATGTGGGTAAAGCTGCTGAAAGAAAAGAAGTTCTTACGTCACGGGAAATAACTGAGGCCAGTGTAGAGAAGAATGAAACTGAATCCTGTATTGACAGAGATGTAAGTACTTTGATATCGTCTAGTGTTTTAGTTTAACATAAGCCTACTTTCACCCCTCTTTTTAATCAACAATATTATACATTTATGTACACTGTTCATTAAATTTAAGGCCTAAGTCTCATAGCCAGCAGCTTTGATAATTGTAAAGCTACTTAGCTCTCAGCTTTCTAGATTTGAAGCATTTACATGATGAATTGTCTGCTTTCACCTTACTTGTGTTTGGATTTGCTTTTCCCCCATCACTCAGCAGGTGTTTGAATTACATTTCTCTTCTGAAAACATAGCTAAGTACATGAATTTTAATACTAACTTAAACAAAATAAAACATTAAAAGCTCCCTACTAAAATATAATCCCAACAACAAAGATGAAAAATTTTGGATTATTTACATAATAACAGGTCTTTGTGAAAAGCGAAAGAGTTAGCATATTTTGAGATTTAATTCTCTTTTGTTGTAATTCCCAAGGTCTAGAATGTGATTATAATAATCAAAAGGACTTAGTAAGATAGAACCCAAGGGATAATTCTAACAGATGAGACTGAAGCAGTTGCTTATTTTCTGACTGGGAGAAAAAGAATGGGGGCTTTGAGATGAGGTAAAAGGTGTGGCTTATGACATTTTCTATATCTAAAGAAAAAACATTAAAAAGCACCTCTTGAATATCATTTTATATTTTGAAATGTTTACTGTTTTCCTTGAACTCAAATTGTATGTAGTTTTTGATGAAATCTTTTATAAATGGGTGTTTCATTGTGACATGGGAAACATTTTTTAAAATGTTATTTGCTATTAAGACTCCTGAACAGATAGATCAGTCATGTGAAAAGTTTGAGTGTGAAGACATCACATCACAATCTGAAGAAAAGGATACTTCTTTTCAAAATGTGCAATCAGATGAGCCCACGGCTCTTAATGAATGTCTAAGGTAAGCTTCATCATATTTGGATTATATGTAAAATTTTAGAAATTATTAATAATTTTTTAGAAAACAATAGCAAATCAGACTAATTTGTTATCTGTATATCAAGTTACATAATATTTACAAGTATAAATTCACCTTTCAAGGCAGTTTGTGTCATTGCCTTCATGATTTCTCAGTTGTTGGTGGTTTGATGAGTTGATTTACTCATCACAAATTAGACCTAATGTGGATGGTACTGTCACTTAACATAGACATTAAATTAGATGTCTCTATCCAAATATGAAAATGCTGCTTATTTTCTTAATATTTGTTTCTTTGGGATTAGATTGATCACATATTACCTTTGTTTAAGGTTTACATAAATTTTATGTGAAACTCTTATGTAGAAACTCATACTTCACATAGCCAAAGCTCTGTTTGTTACTTCCCCACCAGAGGATACTGAACCAAATTGACAGAATTAATATGCTTTGAAAACCTTTTTCCTCTTGGGAATAGTCAGGGCACAAAAGTAGTGAGAACAGAATAATGGACTTCCATGTATGTACTGTCTAGTTACAGTAATTTTTATTATTTTACAGTCTTTACATTTGAAGTCTGGCGTGTCGTGTACCTTCTTACAGCTGAATGAGCCTGTTTAAGTATTCTGCACCTTCTTTAAATTATACTTCCATCCAGCTATTTAAGATCCTGGTCAGATCTGGCCATATAAATGAGTTCTTCAACTCTTAACAGCAAGACATGTGTCTGGGTAAAGGATAGTAGGGGTGAAGAGGTAGGAATAGCAGGCACAAACTGGCCTAGCTCCAATGTAGAGGACTGGAGAGTCTTTCTTAGCTGCTACTTTAATTAAGACCTTATTGATAAGATTTCTATGTATATAATAAATGTGTTTTTTTAAATTTACTCTAAGTTCAAAGGATGGAATTTTCTCTCCTTTAGTTTTTAAATTTAGTTCAGAGATTCCTGACACTTCCTTACTTTTAATTTTTTTATTTAAAAAAAATTTTTTATTTGAGAGTTCCTGGCTTTTCAGTAGTGATTTCTCAACCATCATCTCTTCAGTTGGCAGTCTGGTTTAAAACTTGATTATGCCTTTTTTTTTTTTTTAAAATAGTGTTGAAGAAGATAGTAAAGCAAATAAACAAGTCCCAATTCTAAAGACTCGATTTCAGAAACCGAAGCCAAATATAGGAAGAGCTGGAAGAAGAGAAATTTTCTCAAAGGAAGAGTTACCAGGGGAAATTCTTGCTCCTAAGGAGATGACAGCAGCTTTGCGAGAAACTGTAAGACTAGAAACCTCACCAAGGGAGAAGGTTCCTGAGGAGACTAATACTACTCAAGAAATGGAGTCAGACTTAAAAGAAACCATAAGAAAAGCCATCTCTCCCAGGGAGAAAATATCAGAAATGAATGATATCACTGTGGAAATGGAGACAGATTTAAAAGAAACAGGAAGAGAGATTTTCCTAAGGGAGGAGGTACCAGAGGTGACTGATGCCACTGAGGAAAGAGAGGCAGATTTGGAAGAGACTGAAAGAAGGGAAATACCCCTACAGGAAAATGCTGCAGAGGAGGTCAGTGCTATAGGTGACATGGAGACAGGTTTGAAAGAAACTGAAAAAGAAATTTCTGCAAGGGAGAACACACTGGAGATGATTGGTGCTGCGGAGGAAATGGAGACAGATTTGGAAGAAACTGAAAGAAGAGAAGTATCTACACAAGCAAAGGCCTCAGTGGTCAAAACTATAGGTGATGAAATGGAAATAGATTTGAAAGAAACTGGGGTAGAAATTTTCCCAAGGGAAAAGGTACAAGTGGGGATCTGTGCCACAGGGGAAAGGAAGACTGATTTGGAAGAACCTGGAAATAGAGACATTTCTCTAATGGAAGAAGTATCAGAAAAGATACCTGCCATTGAGAAAGCAGAAGCAAATTTGAAAGAAACTGAAATAGAAAATTCCTTAAGGAAAAGCAGAGCAGAAGAGATCAGTGCTACTGAGGAAAAGGTGACAGATTTGGAAAAAACTGGAATAGACATTTCTCTAAGGAAAAGTGAATCAGAGGAGACTGGGACCTCAAGACAAACTGAGACATGTTCATTGCAGAGCCATAGCGGTGACTGCAGTGCTGTGCCTTCACTAAATACTAAAGTACGTATTTTTCTGTTCTTTAAAAATATTGTTTTGAATATTTTTGAAAATTTCTTTTCCAGAGAAACATTATCAAAATAATTCTAGGATTATTGCCCTTATATCCAACAACATTTAAAGTCTCTTAAAATGTAAAGTCTTTCCCAATCCTCAGTTCTGTTTCAGGACTTTAAAAAATTATATAATCATTTTGAAAAATAATTAAAAATTTCTTTTAATTGTGGAAAAGTTACCATTCTTTTTTTTAAAAATAAATCTGTTTTATTTTTAAAATTTTGGGGGGGTAATTAGGTTTATTTATTTATTTATTTATTTATCTATCTATTTATTTATTTATTTATTTTAATGGAGATACTGAGGGTTGAACCCAGGACCTCATGCATTCTAAACAAGCACTGGACCACTGAGCTATACCCTTCCCCAAAGTTACTATTCTTAATGTCATTTTAAAGTTACTCATAGATAAAAGGAATATAGGAAATTGGACTGAATTTGTGTTAATTCTAATAAGAACATACATTGGAATTATTTCTTTTGACTGTACCTGTGTCAGTTTTCCTATTTTCTGCTCTACCCCACTTCACTCCACTTTTAAAAGTTCCTTCTATTAAAAGTTTCTTGTTAATTGAAGGTCAAGCTATTCTGACATTTTCTAGTTTTCTAAGTTTTTTTGAGTAAGTAATGCCATTTGTAGTTTGGAAAAATCATAATATGCAATATAAACAGAAGTTTCCTGTGTTTTAACATTTTTATGTAAAAATAAAAAACCTCAAACTTCTGCTTTTTTAAAGACAATGTGTAGAATATATGTGTGCATATAAAAGACAATTTTGTTTGAAATTTGTGAAATGCTTAAGGAATCTTGTATATGTGTTGATTTACTTTCAGGACATTAGCAGTGAAATACTGTCCGTGGTGCATACATTTGTAGAAGAGAAGAAAAATTCTGAAAAGGAAGTACAAAGTCAGCTGAGTCATTTGGAGACTTCTTCGCAGGCTTCTGATCTTGGTAAAATAGAAGAACAGAGGATGCAAAGTCCAGATGTTCCAGAGCAGTTTTCAGATATTAATTTAAGGTAAAAGTGTATATAGATCTGTGTGCTTTCAAAGAGAAAGCATATAGTTATATTTGCAGATTTTGTTAAACTAAATGACATTTTAAGACACATCACCTGTAGCATAGTGTTAGAGATTTTAAGCGGGTTTGGGGAAGACTGGGAGAGTTTTTTTTTTTTTTTTAAGTATAAGATTTTATTAACTTCATAAAAGAAATTTTTAATATTAGCCAAAGAATTTACGAGGTTATAGTTTTCAAAAAAGACCCTGTATGGTGATCAGTGGGAGTGGGTAGTAATGGAAAACCACCGCATTTGGGACTCAGATGGGGGCAATCTCTCCATTTGGCGATAATTGAATCTCAGTTGTGGTAGCTTATCCTGTCAGGGTCAGACCTATGTTGTGAAAGAGAGGAAATTAAATGTACTAACCAGAAAGTTGCTCAAAGTGCATTAAGGTCACGACAGAAGCTATCAAGGAAATTCGCAGTTGCAGCCTGTCTCCCCGCCACGAACTCAGCGGGGCGCCGGGGGCAGTGCTTCAGAAGGCACCCCGGTGCGGGCAGGTATTGGAAGTCGGCCTTGCCTATACGTTTCCTTGTTTCCATTAGCTTGGGTTACAAACAGCATTTTTTTTTTATGAATATGAATATATGT